ACAAAAGAATACTGATCAACCCACAGTGTATTGCTGTCGTACCTAGTAATAGGATTAACTTAATCTCATATTTCAAACCGGAATATGGCTTGCAAGATAAAATGCTTGAGAGCAAAATAAGTACTATAATAAATAATACAAATTTATAAGTATGTCTATGTACCAACATACATACATCCCTAACACGGGTCCAGCGCAAGGAATTTTGTCCTTCTGTGAAAGAGAAAGTTTCAAGAGTATATAAAGATATATATATGCACTTAAGTGTTCAAACTTTGAAAAGTATAGCGGCATTGTTTTGTAATACTTATTTTGCTTCTCCTATTAGTATTAACACAGATAACATAATATTACATACTAAATTTAAAGAAATCATATATCAACAACTCAGTTATTATTACCTTAAAAGAACTTCATTACTTTATCGTGCCCAATTCGCTCTAATCGCTTTTATTATATGCATATGTTTATTATTTCCTACTGATTATAGTCTTACTAGTACTAAAATCCCGAAAGTTTCTGATTATGGATGGATGGATGGATGTTTTTTTACACTTTTACGCAAAAACTATTGAACGAATTTTGATGAAACTTTACAGTAATAAATGTCAAGTAAGTGTGATGCAGATAAAGTTGCGTGGATCAGCTAGAACCAGTCAGACTGACCGTAATAGCCCATATACCATATATTATATATTCTAAACACACCAACTGTTAATCAACTTTATGACATAGCCGAATTAAAATTATAGTCGCCCTTGGGTCAGAATATAATACAGCGATGTATAGAATTAGCAGTATTCCATATCTATATTCATCTTGCAGCGCAGTTTCAGTTTTATAGCGCAATAAACTGCGTGGTGACATGTCCGAAGTTGCGCCCGGCCCCGCACACGGCTACATGTCAATGAGTCGCCGGATTTTGCATTAAAAGTAATATATTGCGTCTGGTTCTACATGCTTAATTGCTGGATTTTTATTTTCATGAGCTGTTTATAAAGCGACTCGATAAGTCCAAAGTTCGAGACACCGTTACCAATTATACATATTTTATGTCCCTTATTTTCCTAGATGTTTTTTTTAACCAGGCAAATCTATAGAATAAAGATACAATATCAAATTACAATTTCTTAATCTTGTAGGTCTATTGCAGATTCTTATAATATGTGAAAAACTACTGTCAGTTCGGAAAGCATTCGAGCTAAGAAGATAATCAATTCAGATTTTTCACCTATTTTTTACTTTGAAAAAATCCAATTCAACCTTTTCAAATCAGCTATTTCATTTGTCAGTTGACATTTCTTACGAATTTCTTTAATGAAAACTAAAAGTACCTACATTCGTAATGTTAAGGACGTATTAGCATCATCTCGATCACTATGATGCTGAAGCGTAAAATTTAATAAAAAAGTAATTAGTTTTTAAACTCTAATCTCTAAAATATAGTACATATATGCAACTGTGATAAAATCACTTCCAGCATGACTGTATGTCTGTGTTGACCAATACCTAAAATTCTATCCGCAATAGTGCATCGGGGCTATTAATTCGTCACTGTCATTGCTGTCGCCAACGCATGCCACTGAATTTTATTAAACAGAAGTCTGTTTCTGATTGGAATCGCAAACTGTTACTAACAGCGACATATTAAAATGCACAAAACGTACATAGTATATAAAAATCATTTAAAAACATTATATAAAAGTTCACTAATTTAGGCTCTGTGATTATAGTTTACGTCTATGATATGTACTGTATGTGAGTACTTGAGAAAAAAGGATTTTATAGAAAATTGAATTTATATTCATATTTTAGAGAACGGGTATTGTTATTACAAGTAGAAAAGATAACTCCAGAACTTTCACTATTTGAAAGGTAGATTATTCCAAAGTGAAATAAACTATAATATATATATATATATATATATATATATATATATATATATATAGATACAAAACTAGATAAGGTACTCTAGCGAAGACGGGGTGAGTTCCGTAACTTCTTGATGATTCAAATTTATAAAGATTATATTATACTCAGATTTAGAACTAAACGCCAATGGTACATTTTTGAGCTCATAATAAAGATAATTGAGTCTTTCGTTACTGTGATCTCAATTTCCTACCTCACGCGAGGTTCTAAGAAGATGTATATGGATACACCCCGCTGTGTCTTCGCCCGAAGTGTCAAAATGTCCAAGTTAACCTACCCTAAAGACACCACTAACTATTTACCGATTCCTCAATATGATTCTCGTAGGAAAATGAACCTTTGTTATCAGTCATAAGATGTATATTAAATATTTCTATAAGAGAAGTTAAAATTGTAATAGTGCGTTTGTGGTGTCTATATATCGCGAGATCGATCTGTTCATTGCATTTACGTTTTTGAGTGAAAATCTTTCAATAGAAGGTTTACACACCTCTGACGTTTCCAGGAAGGCTAAAGCATGAAATCGAGATGTCGTCAGGTGTGTCGCTTTGTAAGATGTTAATCCGATTCACTATTAAATAAGTATGATAATATTCTCACCAGACTGTCAATAGTAGGAGATTCCTAATATGACGTTATTATATGTATAGAGTTACATATTCGGGGAATTCAATCGAGATAATGTGAATTATGATTTTTTTGTAAACATTTTGTTAATACAATGTTTCATAAAAGCTGGTTTATTTTTATACGTAACTATATACACTTGTATTGAAGTATGTTTTGAGTAATTTCAAACTTATGCGGTGACGCAGTAAGAATTTGCGTTTCTTTTTTATTTCCAGTATCTGGTACAAGGCAGGACTTCCTCATATCCATGTCTATCTCCCATTAGCAGATTGATTTGTAACCTATTTTCAGTTTAAAGGGTTGAAGACAAGAACGGTAGTAATATTGGTAATAACATCTTTGTCTACCTATGTTAACAAAGAGTGCACTATTACCAAAAAAAATATCTAAAGTACTTAATACAAAATCTCGTTCTTGTGTGTTGTAGTTTAAAATAAGGAATTGCTTTTTTCTTACCTTTATTTTATAATAAGTAGGATCGTGTATACGTTTTCATTATCGATATGGCTAAAAGTCTTGAATCCGATGCACTGTATAGACCATCCATATTTTTTAGATAGATATAGATAAATATTTCCATAGTTATAAAAAAGAACATTAAAACTACGTACTTAATAATTTTCTGAAATAGAACTAAAGAATCGAATCTTAGAATTTGAATTAAGAACAGATTAGCCTAGATTGGACAGCAGAAGGTTCAGCATACTAACGATGCGAAGTAGTGACGTGGTAACTAACTTTTCTTTTGTAAAACATGTGAACTTATTCAGGTCGCATAGTGTCCAAACTCCGAGTACTGTGTACCTTGTGAATACAATTTGCGAGGCGACTATGTTGTACTATAAATAGCCTTTTGGTGACTTAACGAGCTTCAATCGCATTGAAGCTAGACTGAATTAGAAATTAATTGTAATTCTGTGTAGAAAAACCGTGTAACTGTTTTCCCTTGCTCTCCTATTTATAATGGTGATACAAATCTTTGGAACCTAGATCTATTTTAGATGCGTACCTATAATAGTAAGGCATTAGTACATTTATATATGAAGCTATCAAGCATTGTGCAAATAAACACTACGTTAGCATAGATGGCTTTGCTACTAATTTGTTCAGTCATCTACACCTAGTTAATCTTATTATATCAAATTCTCGTGTTACAATATTACCATACTCCTCTGAAACGGCTTGACTGATTTTTAAGAAATTTAATATGCATATTCAGTAGATTTGAGAATCAGCTACTATTTATTTTTCATACCCTTAAGTGATAAGGGTTGTCCACCCCTTACATTTTTTTTCTTATAATGTGGTAGGTATTAAGAAAATCATTTTTATCCCTTCTAACCCTATTTTTTAATAGCGATTTTAATTTAGCTAGTGTATAATAAACATTTTAAAAGTGGAATAGGTACAACTTTGTTTTGACAGGTTTTATTTTGGTATATTCTCACACTTTTGGAGTCTTCTTACCTTTTTCTTAAGCTACCTACAGTAAGATATTTTAAATAAATCTAGGTATGTTCTTCGTCTGATGTAAGATTACAGCTTCACCTACGACTATTTCTTTGTCGTTTTTTCACATTTCACATTCAAATTTTGAATAAAATGTCTTAATAATTTGCTTTCAACAGAAGATAAATATAAAAGAAAGTATACAATTTATTGTCTCCCGTAATTATTCAAATTTCTCTATATTTAATTATGTTTTGTTTAAGTTTTTTTTAAATTATTAGGTCTAGTGCAAATAGTGGCTATTTTATAAAGGGTAACAACTTATTTCTCTAGGTGGTGGACGCAGGACTCGACGGCACTCCGCTCGCCCGCTAAATAAATTCATTAGTTAAATCACCGCTGGCGGCATTTTATGTCGGTAACTTCAAAGGCCGAACCCGCCGTCCTGCCGGGGGCGCGCTTGCCCGAGTTTTTACTAAGAAAACTCTGTAAACAAAATGATATGGTGCGTCCGAATGTTTGATCCGCCTTTATTATCTGTATACAGAGTGAATGTTTAGTTAGCAAACGCCCTCTCTTTGTGGTAATTGTGGGAATAATAATTTTCAGAGTGCGAGTAAACACTGCTTTGATATACGTATACCACTGGCCTACTCCATTATTTTTCACTATTCACAATGTTGATAATGGAAGACATGTTAGACATAATAAAAATGTTTTTATTTCTATTATCTAATTGTAAGATGTGTTATGAATTACTTGGTAATAATTTAGTTAACCTAAAGTGTAAATGTAACTCATGGTAGCAACGCATCTTCATTCAATGCTTTTATTTTGCCGAGCTCTTCACCATTCTCTTAAGTGCGATAAAGACAGGTATATCACGTGTGTGGTCCTCGAGTGAGCGAGTTCGGATGTATTCGTTGATATTCGGACATTGTCGGCCTCCAGAACGGCAACATAACCGATCAAATCATGATGGCGGCTCCACAAACATTCGGTCTACGCATTCAGTCAGTACTGGAACCAGTATTGCTCAAGTCGCGCCGATGACGACACGTAAACGCGGTGTGACTATTTAATGAAACTCTGTGTCGGTCTCTGTCGGTTTGTGTCGAACGATAAAGTGTTGGATAGAGTGAAGAATCAGAGTGTACAGTGTGTGGTTATGTGGCGGCGAGTGATATGACAGCGTGCGCCGCCAGACGGACTCCGGCCGTCTTCATGAGGATACTGGTGACAAACCTGGCCCCGAGATCATGGTGGCTCCCGATTCCGAGGCTCCTTCGAATCCTCGGATAACGAGTGCCGTAAACGAGAGCCCCTCTGCCGCCGAGGCGCGTCACAGCACCGATCTTTATATACGCACCAGTTGGGTTGACGCAGCCTTAGCACTCTCAGAACTCGAAAAGGTGCAGTGTTTAAGTATATTTTCGTGTGCACAGTGTTATTTTTTGGTTGTCATATCGCACGTGTGATTGTTTTTCTGCGAATGTCAATCGCATAGGTAGCTGGAACGCGGCAGCGCAGAACAGTGGCGCTGACTAGCGGTAATTGTGCGTACTATCAAGGCCGCTCGTACTAAAAAGAATAATTTGCACAATAAGAGCAATTGAAACTTCTAAACAAACTTTTTGGTAATACGTTTCTTTTATTATTGTGGCCAGATATTAACACGAAGACAGCTGCATGTTTTGCAAAAAACTAGAACTAGCTTTATTATTAAAATACAGTAAAACAGTGTTTGAGAAAACTTAATTTTGTTTGACACTATAAATAGGTAATAAAAGTACTAAAAAATGTTTTCCTGAATTAAACTTCTAATAAAATAATCCAATATAATTTTATAAATAAGTTATTCTTTAGAGTTGACTTTTAAACTATATTAGTTACTAAGATTCTTTGAAATGTGTAGTTATTTTAATTAAATTTCATTAAACATCGATTCATTGTAAATAAATATTTCATAAGACTTTTATGTCAGAGACGATTAAGTTGTATATAGTACCTAGACATCTACCTATAATGTAACAGCAAGCGAGTTCTGGGAAGGAAGCAGTTTCCTAGAAGGCTGCGCACTCGGTGGTCCATAAGATCCACACCCCACCAGTCCATTAGCGAAACCTTCCCGTTCTATACAAAAATTCGCCTAATTTTCTCACGTACAGAAATAACGACAACAGGAGGGTTCTTAGAAAGCAAACCGTAAAGTGTACACGAATTGTACGAAATGTCTCAATTTTTTTCGAATACCATAAAATAAATGAATCCGTTGATCAGGTTAAAATACATTTAAATAAAAATTATTCAGAAATTAACCAGTTCATGTTATACAATTGTATTTTATAAAACAATTTAAAAATATCAACTGTTAATGTAACATACACATCTTTATGGATAATGGAGAAACTGGCAATCATATACAAGATAAAGCAATTAAGGCGCAGCGGGCGCGCGGTACTGCGCACGCGCAGGCCATCGCCGCCGATAGAGACATCAACGCGGCGCGCGCGCCGCCACTGCATTTGATGAAGCGCCATTAAACTGTAAATGTAAATTTCACAAAATTGTACAATATAATCGTATTACTTAAAAACGTATTTATTATATGTAATGTAATTCTGTAGTACTATTGTAATGTAATTGTTGGAAACGAAGGTCGCCGCACCGGTTTACCTTTTCACCTGAAACACAAACAATCATTTACTACGAGTTTGTGGACATCAAACTTTCTAATTGCTTCAATATTACTACTATATTTTTTCAGTACTCTTTTAAGATCAACAAAACCTGCTTCAAATAATTTATGTTTATATATGACAACTAATATTTAAATTACATAACTTAAACATAAAATAAAAGAATGCTATTCCACAAAATTTTATGTCTGACGGGACCGCACAGAGCTTGACTCGTGGAATTGAGACATCTTGTGGTTTCCGATCGTTACATCCCTTTCTTTCTCATAGAAGGGTCGTATTCTTTCCTTTTCTTTGACTTTTATGTTTTATCTCTCTCCCACTAGTTTTTCCCATATATCGTTTGTCTTCATCCAAACACAGAGCTCGATGGCGGTCGGCAGCTGCGCTGGAGACCTATAAATGATTATACACCCACGAATACCCACGATATGTTGTGTTGGAAGGGCAACTTTTGGGCTGGATTTTTGGTACTATTCCAGTAAATATATTGTTAATAACCAAATAACGTTGGTGCAACATCACTAGTAAAATGCCTTTCCTTGCCTCAATATGCATACATTTTAAGGATCCAATCAAACACGCGAGTCTTCACAACTTTTGCTATCAGATTACCCTATGAACCGTTTAACCAGACCACTGAACACGGCAACACGTGGCCACAAGCACACATCGTTTCACATTTCATCATTTTTCCTCATCATTAAACTTTGCTTCTGTGCCAGTAGCAGGTCGTACGCCATACCTCATAGCTGAACTAGTAAAACCAACTGTTTCTGTTTTCCTTAGCCATATTATTTACCAGAAATATTCAGGTTAGAAATAATTGCCAGAGACCAGATCTTTTGAATACACATTTATGTTATTAGAAAGTTTGTTAGATATAGCGAGATTGAAGTCGGAATCGTCATTTTGCTGAGTACACCAACATGTAAGCTCTATCGTTAGTTATATTTTCTTTACAGAAGCTATGAACATAACAGTAATGGTAATTGGCAAATTTCAATATTCTGTCTTAGATTGTTTTATGACCACCAAGATTTTAGTTGTCACTGTTATCCCATCTAGCATCTTAATAAGATATTACTTATCACCTGTAGTAATAACTACAGTCCTATAAGTAATTTATGATCAATAAAATAAATTACAGTCTATTAAGTATGACAAATAAATTAATCAAGAAGTGGCTATACCAGATGAGAAAAATTGTTTTTTAATAATAATTTCTTCTTAACCAAACGATAAATAAACAGGTGACATGCCAAAAAGTAAACAAGGATATAAACATTTATCTCTTCTCTGATATTTTTCCAAGAGTTGCAACAGAACGGTACGGATATTTGTTACTTAATTCTTTTTATAAACATCCTATTGGTTTTGTTATTGTTCATATGTAATGTCATTTGTTATCCATATAACCCGAAAACTAGAAAATAGCTAATGGCAACACAAACCGCCGGAGCCAAAAGAAGAGAAAAAAAAACCCGCATAATCTCAAAACTGCTAATTTTAGTCTTAAATAAAAAACAACCTGCTGAATTAGCCAAGCATGGAGAACCTGTAATGAAAACTGTAATGTTTTCCAAACATACGAAATAATAGTATAAAATATACATTAACTTTTACGGAACGTAGTGATGGAATCGTAAAGCGTAGGAATGTTTTGCAAGGTGCCATACCTATCGGGAAATATTTTAATAATTTACTAAATTCCATAAACAAGTTTGGTATTGCTAGTTTCAAAACTAGTTTTAGCGAAACATATCTAGGTCGAAACAGAAATTATAAATCAGTGTTCAATAAACAACCATTATGAATTGTATTCCATAGATCAATTACAATTTAAAACTGAAATACTTGACAAAAAAAACGTAATCATAAACATAAAAGCCAGTAGTATCGTATTAATATTTTATTTATTTGCTATCTAATTTCGAAACTTATAGGTAGTATCTGTTTAGGACGCAAATAGGTAACGCGCTTTAAAAATTATTACACTCCGATTTTGGGCTGTCTTGTAATAAAGTGACACAAATGAGTTTTTCATATTATTGGCGCATTTTTTGCAGTGGCTACGTTTGTTTAGTATGCCTGTGCATGCGCTCGTAAAGTTACATCAAACACATAAAGTGTCATTGACATTCAATAACATTGCCAAGTGTCATCGTGGCCATGTCCGAGTGGCCAACTGGACGAGACGATGTCCTTGGTGGCCCATATTTTACATATAAAATTAACAATAAGAAGTTGCAATTTGCAGTTCTTTAATAAAAGCATAATGGTCAATTAATGTCACATTTTCGCTTCTTAAATACTGTTTGGCCAACAGACCTGGAACAATATGGAATAATTACGGGTAATCACCTGATTTACCACTGACAGTTGTCATTTATGTTTATATTTTGATTAAAGTATTTCAAAATGTCTTTCTTTACTTGAAACATCTGATATTTTAATAGTAATTCTGTTAATCGATATGAATCCAAAGAACAAAATCTTAAAAATCAGTCAAATCGGTCCAGTCGTTCATGAGTTATAAATTATGTGATTACCTCAATGTTAAAATATATGTATAAATTTACTCTTAAAGCTTTAAATGTTTAACTAATAGACCTTAATATTGTAAAACCGGTTATGTTTTACTTACGCGACATATTTACTGTACTACAACTTTATCAGTATGTAGGTACACTCACCAGCAATAATAGAGAGGGTTACTTATAATGGATATGCCAAGATAAATGTCAGTAATAGTAAGTAGTATATAAAACTGAACAATTTTTCCCACAAATTCTGAAAATAAAACAATACATACATACCACCTACGGGCGCCATGCGATTTGGTATTACTTGATTATTAGTATACACAGTACAGTTTTGTTCTTTCCTCTATCCGAAGATCAATAGAATTGTCTCAGTAATTACAAGGTAAATTGTGTTCTTTGGTGTCCTTAGGGTTCTTCTTTCGGTTCACTGGTAACAAAATGTATTTACCCCAGAATGTTGCGACGACTTTTGCGCATTCGGTTGTATTTTTTAGATCTTTTGTGTGTATGATAATGGCAGCACTCCTTTGTGCTGCCATTATCATACACATAAAGAGATCCTAGGGTGGGTGCAATCTAGATAATAAAAAAATAGAGAAATAATATTTATAATTAGAAACATTTTTTTATTATGATGTTGCCTGATTGGTTGGTCAATGGTCTAAGTAAGGCGATTTTGACCAAATAATAGAGAACTGTAATTTAGCTAGACGCATTTAGAGAGTGTTATTTTTTTAAATAAAATGAATAAGGTAAAATTAAAACAGGGAGGCCGTGTAACAGAATTTCCAACTAGTTTCTTTTTATTTCGTTAAGTAACAAAACATTCTAAACGCCACGCGCCATCACTTCTTGGTATGACCAAAATAACTTTGTGTATAAGAATCAGCCAGTATAACCTTCGAGGACCCAGTCATGAGACCGAGAGTTTAAGTTGTGTTATAACTAAAACTAACAACTTAAAGCGAATTTTCATTATGAAAATTATTCCCCCGCCATCAGTAGATGCTCTTAAGTCAACCTAAGGGATTGGATTAATTAATAGATAACCAAATGAGCATCAATAAAACGATCCAGCGTAAATTTTTCGTTACTTTAAAAGTTAAAAATTAGGACCCCTGAGAGGAGTCCGAGATTATAGATATATTTTATTTACACGAAGTTTGCGCATCCTCCAAACGCTTGTTACACAGTGTTAAACTTAAAAAACAGGACGTACAGACGTTTACAGATGGTCGCTAACCACCATAGGTTAGCGAGCCATCAGTTTCATACTATATAAATTCTCCCATATTACTTACGTATGTTTCTGTGGCGTTCATCAAACCATTTTGATTCTGAGAAAATGGCATAAAATAAAACATAATTTTGATAAATACATCTGTAAGCAACTTGTTGTCTTTAAGGTAACGCAGTACTTAGGTAAATATGCAGACTGCTATTTCTTATAATTAGCACCGATCAAGCACTATCCAAGTTTTTTTTTGCAAAATTTAAGCATCGGCTTAGTTGAAAATGGGTTAACTCTATGGTTGACACGGAAACTAGTGAGCAGTAATTACAATACCTAATTAGTTTTTTGTATAGGTATTAATGTTATAATTTATTAGTGAAAACGATTTTTAGAATAAGCCTTGTCATATGATTCAATAATTATAGAAATAAAGTCTTATACATATAGGCTATTAGCTGAAATGAACGAAAACATAAAAAACAGATATATCAGAACATAACTGGTAGTGAGTTTTTTCCATGACATAATGTACTTTATACAATGATATTGTATTTGGATGACATAACTGTCAGTTATGGTCACTCACTCACACATTCTTTTACGTAGGTACATACAAGTATTATTGCAGGACGGAGTTAGATGACGCCCTCATTGTGTGTGTCTCACTCGGTAATGATTCATAAATAGGTAGATTAAATGTCGAGCATGCTTTATATATATAGTTTACATCACAAATAATATTAAAAGTATTAAGTATATAAATATAGTGACTAATGAACAAATTAGTACAACATGATTATACTAATTTCTTGTCTCCAATTTTATTAGTTATGTTGCTATGCCAAATAATAGACAATGGACAGTTAAATAGCATTTCGTAACTAACGTAAATATTTTTTTTCGCAATCATTTTGTAAATAGATAGATAGAATAAGAGGCATTTTTTACCTCCTAAAACATAAAGGTACGATTTTATAGCCATATTTGGTCTAAAACAAATAAAACCTAATAATTTCAATTATTTTCCACATACCAACCACTGGTGAAGTTATATAATATAATTATGGACTGATGATAAGCTGATGCTGTACTTTAATTTAATAGTTTTTAACAAATTTGAAAATAATCATTATTAACTTATATACTATATATCTAATAATTATTATAATTAATTACCTAAATTATGACTATTATTACTACGAACTCGACCTCTGATAAGAAACAAAGTCGGCCGATTGGATGGCGGGAACTAGGCGACATGTACAATTATCTTTGCCCTCTTCTACGTGAATTGGTATGAATACGTAATTATAGTCAGTGACGACAAATAATGTAGACCTGTAATATGCTATAATAAATGTTGTAAAATTGTAAAATGTAAGGTTTTCGTTTACTTATTATGTTCCTGAAGGAACTTTGATATGTCGTGTAAACTCGCATTTTTTTTTGCTGAGTATATCGATTAGCTATCTTATTATAATACAAATTTATTTGGGTTATGGACACAGTGCCTGAAACATAACATACCACTGCTAACGTAACTAAAAAGGAGATTGCCTAAGATGAATTTTATTGCAAACAAGCAGAACCGTTGATAATCTGGCTGTAGCCGTGAGAACATGCTCATAGTACCTACCCCAATCTCTTATCTACCGGAAGTGCATTCGCCGGCGCCGGCACAACCCAGATTATACAGTCTAATCCCACGCCACTTCGATTGCGCCAACATATTTACTCCTGGTGACCTACCGTAGCGAGGATTGTATAGGTTGGTTGGTGCCTTAGCGTTCCGTAAGGTCAATAAGTATGGACGCGCACCTATTCCATAGGAATACCGCATACCGTGGCTGAATGAAGTGAAAAGGCCCGACTGCAATGTTGCAGCGTGGTGTGATGTTGCGTACGCAGTACACTACACGTGGGTCGCGCGGAGGACGGAGGGCGTACGGGCGGCGCGGGCGCATTCCGTCCGTGACGTCACGCCCACCCAGAGCGCTCGACATTCACCTCGCCGTGCCGTTCGCCCGAACCGTTCCTCCGCTCTCGCTGTATATCTGCCATTATTGGTATATTTATTTACGATCAGCAAGTTCAGTAACAAAAACAATTCGGTTTAGGCAGCATTAGTAACATGAGTGACTATAGTTCACAGAAGTATGCGTTCAACGGGGCTTTTATTTTGCATGATTGATTATGGAATGGCACATCCCGCTAACCTAACCACCCTGACTATCTTCAGGGTGGTTAGCCCATCATAGTACATTTATTAGGAATTAACCACAATATTTTTCAGGGAGACCACATGGTGTCAACCTACATGTGTGCAAAATGCAATTTTAAGCATATAAAATACGTGACAATTAAAAAATATATACTTATGTATAATTCTTTCTGCAAGTGATACCATTACGAATAGCCAACGACTTAATTTGGAAACAATTCATCAACTCTTGTTTATCGGAATTCTTACCATAATAAGAGATAGGGACATTAAGGAAATGAAGGCATATCTGCTTCGAATCTTGTAATAGCCGCGTTCAACACGAGACGTCGATTGAGTTATTATTATGCAATTAGTGGGCGCTTGTCGGGGCTGTAGTTTGCTGGTGGCGGCCCTTCTCGCATTCGAAGCGGCTGTATCTGGCGCCACGGGTGCATTCGGTTCGTTCGTCGACCACCGACTCTCACCAGTGCCGGATTAACCTAGTGTCAAAAGCTTCAAATGCTACGGGCCCCGCGCACTTACTTCTGTCTGATCATAATACGACAAATTTTTGCAATCTTTAGTATTATTGTTTAGTCTGTACAAAGTCTAAACCAAGCAAAAGATCTAACATTTGTGTTACAAAAAGCTTGAGAACCGAAAAGAACTAAACTACAGGCCTCTTGAAAGAATTTGCTACGGGCCCCGCGCTGGTTTAATCCGGCACTGACTCTCGCCGTCAGTCATTAATCACAATCAACTGAGAAATTTCGACGTTTAAAAAGTTCGGGTTTATTATAATCCAAAGCAAAGGTTAAGAGAGCAAAAGGTTTATGCTGACGCAGCATGTCTTGAAAGGAATGGTGGCTACTGTTTACATTAAACGATTGCAACAATTAAACTTTATAGTTACATTAATCGTAGTGTCGATTTCTTGGCGTTAATTTATAGATAGATAATTCCTTATTCTCGTATAAGAATATGCTCTTTCTAAGTAAACAGTTCGTTAGTTCCTACTTCCAAATATAAACTTTCAACAATGGGATAATACACACTATTATACAGTTAAAACAATATTAAAATCTGTTTAACTAATGTAGAAACTACTGGACGAATTATGATAAATCTGGGCAACATGTCAAGATTTATAAAAGTTCGTTCACTTTTTAACATTCACAAATGTGTAGGTATATAAGTATGATCATCAGTTAGGAATACAAAATTAATACGTGAAGTAAAAACTTTGTGTCCCTGTTTACCAATGTTTTACGGATGCTGGAGTTATATGTGGATATTGTCACATTTAAAGTTTATATCAAGAAGTGCAGAAAATAATATAAAATAAACTTTACACAGCCTACCCATGTTTGACATATAATTTAGTCGTTGAACATAACATTCAATCTTAAAATTTTGCTAAATGAATTATGGTTGATTTTGCTACCACAGTATTTGATATATAATATATTGATCACAAGTATTTTTCTTGAAAGTATATAAGAAACTGACCTTAATCCTAGGAGAAAACTAATGAATTTGTGCGTCTAACGTTTATTTAATGTGAACTATTAACATTCCATTGCAGGGCAACATCGAGGGCGGGCGGACGTCTCTGTGGATCAGGGCGTGGCTCCAGGAACAACTATTCATTCTCGGGTGCTTTCTCCAGGGAGACGCGGGGAAGGTTCTTTTCGTCGCTATCCTCGTGCTTTCCACTTTCTGCGTCGGCCTCAAATCTGCGCAAGTCCATTCAAGAGTCGACCAACTTTGGGTTCAAGGTAGATTTTTTTAACAATTTTTTATTTGTCATCTACGAATTACGTTACATACATACGATTTCAGTCATTATCTAGTCACATTTTAATAGTATATATTGTTAATAGACATAATAAAATGTGACATCACAAAATCTAAGAACCCTGCCAAGGGTTGGAGGACACTAGATTTCATTATTTTTTACAAGAACTTTGTGACTCGTCCAACAGTTTAGAAAACTTTGTCGACGTTTGACGTAATTTATGGTTGGCCCCTGTTTACATATTCTCTAGTCAAGTTTCTTGCCTGTTTAATTTTTTTTACTACGAAGGTGGTGAATCAATCAGATGCCCATCTGATACTAAATTGTTACCGTAGCCTATGGACGCCTGAAACACCAGGCATGTCACGAATGCGTTTCCGACCCCATGCTGTAATGTCTAGAGAAAACCTCGAAAGATCAAATATAGGTTTCTTTTCATAAGTAGTAAATACTAACTGAAATAGACATTGTAGTGTATCGTACATCCCTTGGAATATAAATGCACCTTTGTTGAGCACGTCAGTGGAGCCGCTTCCTCCTCGATGAGACGTGTGTAGCATGCTTACTGCGAGTACATAGCATGCCGCGCTGTGTTAACTTTTTTATACGACAAACTTGAATTTAATCGATGAATTTAAATTCACCGATAGACAATCTATAGCAGAAGCGTCCGGTACGCTACTTGATTGTAATTTTTCTTAATTAACTGAAAACTATTCAATTGGACAAACCTTAAAGCTACAATGAATACCGATTCATTACAAATAACCACTTTTTTATTTTGAAAGTGTTTATTTACTATAATTTGAATACAGAACGAAATTTATTCCGTTACTCTAAGCATATGTTATAGACTTTGAAAGAGCTTGTGTTTTAGCACCTCTCAATTATAAGAATAGAGATCAAGACATATAAGATTTCAGACATTGAGAAATCATTAGGATAATTGGATATACTATGCAGTTGGTTTACTTCGAAATTCGCTTTAGCTACTTCATTATTTATGGGCATACCTATCTGCTGCTGAACTCACATACATGCAGAAAAGGATTTTTTATGGATGATAATGGAATTGTGTTTACGCCTGGGCTAACAGTTTACGCTGGCGAGGCACCAGTGGACGATGATAAGAAGATTATGAAGTCTGATCTGACCTCATTCTAGTCCATCTTGCAAATTTACCAGGAATTTATAACGATGGTTTCAAGGGGAATCGCGTAGAGTTAAAGCTGACATGGACGGTGCATTGCTAGCAGTGGGATCCTTAGTCCACATTACTAACAATCCTCTTCCCCCTGTAGTAAAGGGTTCCGTAATAATTCCGGAACTGAACTTCAGAAGGGCAGGATACGCGTATATGTTTATGCGGGCCGGCGGCGGTGAGCAGTGCGCGGCATCTGTTCACGTTGCGGTGTATGGTATCAGGGTTGCCAAGCTTAAAACAATTATAACTGCTTCTATGAATGATAAATCTGATGAAATTTCATAACTCTAACTTCATAAGTCACAGTATTTCCACCGATTTACGTAAGTCAAAATCTATTATGAGAGTGAAAATATCCTGTTGGTACGAGGCCAAAAATGTCTTAATACCAGGACCCCTCGTTTGGTTGGCATCCTTGTATGGTCATCATGAAAACACATGTTGCTCAAATCTTACTTCATCTTTCTTAATTGTTTTTTAATGTTTTTAATTGTTATATAACTGAGAAGATTATTTTGTAATAAACTACAAAGTGACTGACAAAATTTGCAAACATAAGTGATTATATATGTACTGTGAAATATCAGGAATACTAACCGCAAGACTTAACAAAGAGGTGCTTATTTTAGTTTGTAGAATTTTACAATCTATAATTTATATTTATGAACCTATAATAATTATTGAATGTACCTAATTACATTAAATAATTATTATAGGTTTGTAAAATAATAATGAGTCAGGCTATTTGTGATGAATGTAATCTAATACAACTATGTAATGTTCGTTTAAAAATTAATTGAATTCGAATTCGAATTCTCTGTACGAAATACTTTTTTGAATTTTTTAATCCTAGTTCAATCTTTTAAGAAGTAAATTTAAAAAGTCCAGTCTTCTTCATCTTCTGCTAATAAAACAACACTTGTGAAAAATAAAACTTCTAGTTCCAAGGATTTAGACCGGGCGTTGATGAGTCAATGATTCAAGCTTTTCTTTTTTTATATAAGAATTTTAGTATAAAAATATTCTAATGATAATTACAAAACTATATTTAAGCTATATTAATTTCAGTTAGGTATCAAACATTATTTACAAAGCACCAACGTATTTAACTTGTGGAACGTCCTTCACAAGCTCACAAAAGGTGAATTTTGCTTCTTTTTATTTCTTTGCCTGCTGCGGCTTTGGGTGGTCCGTGATTACCTTTTATGGTTATTTGGGATCGCAGGCATTAATAAATTAAACTTAATTCTGTATGTTGATGACTCTAATTACTTTATTCACTAACTTGATTTAATTCTCTTTACAACTGAGTGCATGTTCAAGATATTTTTTCATTTTAAAGCATTTAAGTAAATATTTACAAATTTTTTAACTGTTTCAATTAGCACATCACCTACAAACGCTCGAATTGCGTATATTATACAACTACATACAGCAGGTAGATTTAGCAATTCGTTGAAATCCAACAAAAAATGCAGACAAGTGCGGACGTTACGAAAAGGAAGTGGGCGATTTTACGATACACCTGTCGATCCGCACTGCAGTATAGGTACGAGAACTTCATACATTTCTATCTGCATGAATTATAACTTTAGTATAATTCAATTATATAGACATCTTCAAATGACAGTCAAACATTAATCGTTTCATTGACCAAACGTGTCCGTTAAGTTAAATTGTTTTGTCAACAGAAACAAATGTCCGTTTATATTAAGACCTCAGCTACTGTCCCAACAAATATTTTCAAAGGTAACAACCTCACAAAACCTTATCGCGGAACAAAGCCGCCTCTGTTAAACAATGCCGAAGATCCTGGAGTCGTCTAACAACTTAATTAGGTGGGCCACGGCCGCCCGTAAATATCCCTACGTGAAATTACGACCAATAAAAGTAAAAAAATGTATAACATTTCTATTGAGTCACAAAAAAAAGGGACACGATTGTCCGTCCGCCTTTGTGTGAAGATGAAGTCTTACTGCGTGCCGTGCTGTGCTGTGCCCGTTTCATCCTAGCTTTTTGTCCATTCAAATTCTCGTAAGAATTTCTTTGCCAGTTTTTTTGGTACTTTTAGAAAAATATAAGTGTCTGTAATTAAAACATGTGCAATGTAACAAGTAATCAGTGTAGAAAACAAAATTACTTACGTTATTTATTATGCTTCTTAAAGCATTTATTCTTATGTTAATCATGATACATATTGGTGATACATCCAAATAGATGTGTCTGGCAGAATAATCAATGCATAAAGTTACGTTCATTGAATTGAAAGTGTAATATTCAATTTCATTTTCAAGACAATTGTGGTGTGGTTTCAAATTTTTAAATTTATATAAAATTAACTTTCAATTGATTACAATTGAATGAGAATCATCAAAGTCGGACTAATGTGGCAATTGGTAGGTACATCGTACAATTGTTCACATCTAATTGTGGAAAATATCAAGATATTACAAAGAAATCAATATGGTGCCGGAGAATATTTTTCTCCTACTCTAAATTTCGTTTAATTACAAAATCGTTAAGATATGATGCTGCATTTGCTAATAATTCTGTACATTGTTCGTGGAATGTTTTAGTCTATCTAATGGTCGAAGTTCGTTTGTATACAAGTCGTGGTGTAGGCGTATAGAATGCACGTATTACGAGACTATTATGCAAATCTCTTACTACGTGCATTCTCTATGATCATGCCTATGTTACGAGTTCATAGACGATGAACTAGCACTAAACTTACCTGAAGTTCTAGCTCTTTATCTGTATAGGTCCTAATAGGTGCCTATTGGAAAAGAGAGAATTAGTTTGATTTATCAATCTAATTTATTGGCTTGTATTGTATTTTATTGTATGTATTAGTGGCCCGACTGCTACTGCTTACGGATCTTTAACAAGAATTTAAAAAAATTATGTATTTTTTATACACACATGATATTGATGTCCTCTATATAACTGCAGTATATTATTTTGCTCTATTGTCAATAATTGCTCTAGTATTTTTGGTATATTTTCACACTTTGGGTTACATAACCGAAGTTTTCATACGGAACCCTGACGTTATTGAACTGTTATTTATTTGTATTGAAATTGGACGTTATTCTGTAGGTGTAGATATAGTATGTTCTTCAATTGAAAAATTCTTTCACTATTAAAATCCTACACGGGACAGTGTAGGATTTTAATAGTGAAAGAGTTTTTTTAAATTGGCTACATAGTTTCGGAGACTATTGAATACAAAAACAATCAAATCTGTTGATACTATTTGTATCTATAATATTATTTCCTTTTTGTAACTATTGGTCTTCTTGCTGCTGAAGGGTACTTTACGTTGCTGCTATAATTTAACTTTTTTATATAAACTACTTAGTCGCACTTATCTCTTTAAAGTGCAACTAAGCAGTTTATATAAAAAACAGGCTTCAACCGATTTAGCGGCCGAAACAGAAATGCCGAGTTTCTCTACATCGTCCGTTAGTAGTTTTTATAGTAATAAATAATAGATGCTTTGTAGATACCATGCTCAGACGACTTTCACTTGTCCACAAATTCCTCGTACATTATACAGTATCTGATCTAGCGTTTGACATTTGCTAGTATGGTTTAGGTTCGCATTGCCTCTGCTAACAAAGTCGCGTGATGTCTTTATGTGGATCTCTTGCACAGCCGCAAAGGGCGCGGTTTGTTTATTCCGCCATCCATCTGTTGTCTACGCTCTGGCTAATTTGCATAGAGGGCCAGGGGGCTGCGAGGGGCGAGGGGCCGGACCACACGGGTTGGAAGCA